AAAAGATTTTATTTATTCATTTGAGAGGGAGAGAGACAGAGAGAGCACAAGCAGGGGGAGAGGTGGAGGTAGAGGGAGAAGCAGACTCCCTGCTCAGCTGGGAGCCCGCCGTGGGGCTAGAGATCATGACCTGAGCTGAAGGCAGATGCTTAACCATCTGAGGTGCCCCAAAGAATTCTTTTAGATAACAAGTTTTCCAAATTCCCTTAAGGTGTAATTAAAATAGAAAAAAGTTCCATTTCACCCTAAAATCTCTGGAATACTTCGAGTATATAAAGTAAGACACAGACATTTGAAAACTCCATGAGGGAGAATAGAATTACAGAAATAAACTAGTGGATGAACAAATAGAAACAGGGAGGTAAAATTCAACACAAAAAAAGGCTATCTGAATATTACCACATTTTGGGACCTGCAGACATGCACCAAGCTTTGCTGTTTGAGAGTTAGTAATGGAGCTTGTGGCTCAGCCTAAACAATTCAAGTATCATTTCAACCAACCAAGTGTTCCCGGACTTATAGAAAAGATAGGTCAGGTGTATGTCATATTTATTGGAAATATATCCATATTACATAGTCAGAATAGAACTTGAAGTTTACAACTTCAAGAAACATTCTGCTGTTTGTGTTTTTAATCCATCCTAATGTCAGCAAGTTTTTCCTACCGATCTAACCTAAGCCTCTAGCTTGATTCTCTTGGAAGAAAAAGTTACAGCTGGTTAGCATCTCTTTGTAAGGACCCTCTGTGCACACAGGCCCCATTTCTCTCTGGATCATGAAGGCCTGAATTTGACACGAAGGTCATGGTGATTTTGTCAGGACCTGGTAAGTGGGAAGATTCTCTTACTGATCCTGTGCCTTATTTTATCCCAGTGAATAAAAGCCAATTAAAGGACAGAGGCATTGCTTACCAGCACTTATTTGTCTGGTTCAGGCTCCTGCCTCTGCACTTGCTGGGGCCTAATTTGATATTTTATGGTAATGTTTTGGAGTATAAAGCTAAGTAACCTCATAATGATAATGAGAATAGGAAACATTTATTTTTATTTTTTTTAAAGGTTTACTTCTTATTTGAGAGAGAGGGGGGAGAGGGATTTTCTAAGCTGACTCCCCTCAAGCCTGGAGCTCCGTGGCCGCTGGATCTTACAACCCTTAGATCATGCTGTGGGTGGAAACCAAGAGTTCACTGCTCAACAGACTGAGCCGCCCAGGCGGTCCCATTTATTTTTAGTTTAAGAGTTCAGCTTTTTATTGAACAGATTACAGAAGGGGTTTAGTCAAGAAGCCCAAAGCCCATGTCATCATCAGACTCCTCTGATTCTTCTTTCTTGGCTTCCACTTTCTTCTCAGCTGGGGCAGCAGAGGTGGATGGAGCAGGACCTCCTGCTGGGGCAGGTCCACCAGTCCCTACATTGCAGGTGAGCCTCCTGATGCTCACATCGGCCAGGGCCTTTGCAAACAAGCCTGGCCAGAAAGGTTCAACATTCATACTGGCTGCTTTAATGAGGGCATTGATCTTAGTCTCTGTGCCCGGGACTTCATCATCCTGCAGGATGAGGGCTGAGTAGATGCGGGTGAGCTCCAAGACAGAGGCCATGGTGCAGGTGTGTGCTGAGCAGGCAGGGACGGGCGAGGTGCTGGCTGTGCGGATAAAGAGGAGAGCCTTACCCCCACTGGGCCTTAGCTTCCTGGGCAGGACTCAGCACCTTAAAGGCAGCTGAGGGAAGGAAGGAAACATTTCTTTATAAAGTCAGTAAGTAAACAATAAAATTCATCATAAAATTCTGAAATATTTCTCATACTTAGTGGCAAAATTGACTATTTGCATTAGATTGAAAATTACTCTTAGGAAAGCTTCTGAGCCAGTGTTATAGGAACGAAATATGAGACTGACTTTGGATCAGGTCTGGACCAATATATCTTGGTTTCTGTTAGAGACATTTAAAATGTATCTACAATGCATTTAAAAGTACATTTTAGGCTACTTGGTTTATGCTGAACCTTGGTATAGCTTCATTTTTAGGGGGTATACAATTTCCATCAAAACTGGAAAAGTTTTGGTTATTATTTCTTCAAATAGTTTTTCTTGTCCCTTCTTCCCTCTCTTCTCCTAGGACTTCAATTACTCATGTATCAAGCTGCTTGAAGTTGTCCCACATCTCACTGTCCCACAACTCACTGTCCATTTTTTTTTTTTTTCAGTCTGCAATGTCAAACTACTCTTAATCCTATCCAGTGTATTTTTCATCTTTAGAAATTTGATTTTGGTCATTTTTGTATCTCCCATGCTCTTTTCATGACTTAATGAATTTGGGTGTTAGACATTGTGAAATTTATGTTGTTTAAGTGTTTGACTCTTTTGTATTCCTATAAATATTTTTGAGCATTGTTCTGGGCATTCACAGAACTTGGAAATAGGTTGATCCTTTTGCAATTTGCCTTTAAGTTTTGTTAAGTGGCACCAGAACAACTTTAAGTCTAGAGCTAATTTGCCCCTACCACTGAGACAATGTCCTTCTGGGTTCTGTACCTGTTGCCTTATGTATTATAAGGTGTTTGTTCTGTTTTGTTTTTAACTCTGGCTGTGAGAATATTCCTAGCCCTGTGTGAGCTCTGACAATTGTTCCACCTGCTCTTTTTCTAGTGGTTCTTTTTTCAGCCTTGAATAGTTTCCTCTTATGTATGTGCTCATCAACACTCAGCATGAGACCTGAAGGGTACCCTCTGCAGATCTACAGATCTCTTCCTTGGTACCCTGGTACTCTCTCCTCCTGGGTACTCTGTCCTGTGAATTCTAGCCACCTTGGCTTCCCCAAATTCTCAACTCTGTCTCTCAACTCAGGGAGCAACTTCTTTTATTTCCCCTTCTCTCAGGGATCATTGTCCTGCACTGCCTGTTGTCCAGTGTCTGAAAACTACTATTTCATATATTTGTCTATTTTTTTAGTTACTCCACCATAGCCAGAAGTGTCATCCTAAAAGTCCATATATTTTAGGACACTTAAGTGAGAAGAATAGTTTCTGGCTTTCTAATAGTATATCCTTAAAGTGTTTAATACATAGTATTTAAAGGCATTTATATAAACAGTTGAAGTCTTTCTTCGGGGAAATTAAAACAACAAAACTTGATTGCATATCATGCTTTCATATTTTGCAGATGTTAATATTTAATCATATGCAGAACCATTTAGCTTAAGTGCATTAATGTAACTCATTTAAAAGAGGCCAGTAATTGTCCTATTAACTCCCAGTCTGGATGTTATCTGCTCTGCCCTGCTGGTAAGGCCAGAGGGGGACTCTTCTATTGGCACCCACAGAGATTGCTGTGATCTGTTGAAAATCCTGTTAAAATCTAATTACTTAGGAGAATCAGCCAGGGAATATCTAATGAACTCTAGGAAACCCACTGGAAGAAATTCTGTATTACTAACGAATGAAATGTCTTCTGTCTTTCAATTACACCGGTACCACATGAATGTAATTGCTGCCTTATAAAATGTGACTCTTGTTTTTAATTGTGTGTCATGAATTTTTTTGATCATGTGAAAATAACTTAATTTCTTGTGGAGGAGGAATGATGGTGTAAAGCTTTGGAAGGTATACCTTATTTCCTCATGAATATTTGATAACTTGTTAACAAATGCTTAAAGAAAGTATGTACATTATTTAATGAAGCCACTACACAGGTGTGAAAACATGATGATTAAAAGACATTGACTTTTAAGTCTAGAATAAAAAACATGTTCATCAGGAAACTCTGAAAAGGTCTATTCTCTGCAGTCATTGATACAATGTATGGTGATTAACATAACATAAAAAAAATTGCCAAAAGAAATGGATTTATTAAAAATGAAAATTCATTTGTCTCACTTATTTTGTAAATATATTCTTGAGACTCCTAGTGTAGTTTATGTTCCTCCTCTCTTTAGCAATCAGTAGTGTCTTTTTTTCATGTCTAGCCTAACTTTGTATTTCAATTTTGTTGGCTTCCATTTCTCTATATTTAGGACTTTGTTTTCTTAAAATTGGATGGTTGGTTAAGACTATGAGGTTTGTAGTGAGGTAGACGTGAGGTATTCAAATACTGGTTCTTATGTTCACAACAAATATCTTAACCCTCTGAGTCTCAGTTTCCATTTCTATAAAATGGGGACACTAATTAATATGTATAGTACTGCATAAGGTTGTTGTGAGGATTTTGTGAAGTAAAGCATATAAAGTGCTTAGCATAGTATTGTGCATGTTGTAACTGTTCAAGAGATGGTAGTTATTATTTTTGAAGACTAATTAAAATTTGGAATATGAAAGAATTGTGATATCTAAGATTCATTAAAAACTAATGTAGGGTGAATTTCTATTATCCTAATGTATTTCTATCACCATGTTCATATTAAATTTGTTGAAAAAATTAAAAGGGGTCTAATTTTAGTATCATGTCAGTGAACTTCATTCCAAAGTTTATCAAGTTTTTAGCAATATATCATTTTATAACATGGATTGATTTCAGCAGATGACACCAGAAACAAAATGTGGTTTGGTGATACATTACTTAGAAAAATATCTGTCTTAGTGATAAATTATTATTGGAATATTATATAAGATTTTAATGATTGAGGAGAAAAAAGACTATTATATATTATTTCAACAATTAACAATGTAACTATTATTTAAAATTATTATCTGGTCTATAGAACCCTGGCAGTTGAAATACTTAAATTGACAGTGCTTTTATTTTCAGTCATTTGATAACATGTTAAAATTAGATTTCCTTTTTTGCCTAAAATATAGATTAAAACATTTTTTGATCAGACTATTTGCAAGTTGATATACAAGTAGCCATATAAAATGATTTTTATGTATTATAACTGAACGAGGAGGTAGAATTGTTATAATAATATTTTCACTTAGAAATAGGCTCATTTGTACTTAAAATTCCTTTTTTGTATAACTCATTAATTCTTACAGCAATTTTATGAAGTAGCCGCATAGTACTATATTGTAGGCAATAAAAGGAAACAAAGAGTTTTTGTATACACATAGCTCTGATTATATTTCTAATATAAAAGATATACATACAAATTAGGATGTTTCAATGAAAGAATATTTAAATATTTAAAATAATTTGCTAATGCTTGTTAATTTAATACTTTACATGGATTTAATTCTTAAAAATATCTGATTAAGAGGTAATGGTGTTATTTGGTAGGGAAAGATGTTAGAGTTGATGAATTTCTGGTGACTTGCACTATTTGTTAAAAAGTTTATGTATAATAAATAAACATGGTGAACTTATTTTATCTGGCAGGAATCATTATGCTGTAATCAAGGACCCAACATCAGCTAATTAGGTCATTCAACAAATATTTATTGAGGGCTTATTATTTGCCAGAATGGGAATGTAATGTTGAACAAGACAGGCAGGGAAGAAGAATTAGCAGATTTATTATTAAAGCTAATATTTTGCCACATTGTCAGTTCATGAAACTTCACTCAGTTGAAGTCCTTGACAGAAAGTGCTTTAGTTGTTGATATTGGCATATGAAACTACTGGCTAAGCCTGGCTTTGCTGGGGAATTCATCTATTAACTTGATTAAGTTAGCATGTTTTCATTAACCAGTTTCTGTTTATAACAGAAAACAAATACTTCACTTTGACAATAGAAGTAGAAGTCAGAAAGAGGTAGTTTTATATCTTTCCCTGTGCCTTTCTTAAGTCAAACTGTCTGCTTGGGGAACGCCTGGGTGACTCAGTCGGTTAAGCATCTGCCGTCAGCTCAGGTCATGATCCCAGGGTCCTGAGATCGAGTCCCGCATTGGGCTCCTTGCTCAGTGAGGCACCTGCTTCCCCCTCTGCCTACTGTTCCCCCTGCTTGTGCTTGCTCACTCTCTCTCTGAGACAAATTAATAAATAAAATCTTAAAAAAAAAAAACCCCAAAAACAAAACAAAAAAAACCTCTTTGCTTGGCAAGCTTCACATGTCCAAATCGCTATAAAGCATGCTTCCCCTCCCACCCCAAGCCCCACCCTGCCCCACACACATACACACACTTCCACAACTTTGCCTGCCATGTGGTAGGTGCTCAATGAGTGCCATTGAGTTAGCATAATTAATAATTCATATTCTATTAGGTTATATTCCTAGTTCTGTTAATTGATTCCTTTGTGATATCTGGCAAAAGCCAAGTTACAGGACCCTGTAATTTTCCTGCATAAAAAAGAACACTTTGTTTTCCAAAAACCTGATTAAAATATAATGAGGACTGTGAGATACTAGCTTGAACCATATGAAATTGTGATATTTGATCATTTTTTGACCTACAAAAATAAAAATTTCATTTGATTAAACCTAATATTGTTTTTCCAAGGTGTTTTAACTTGACCAAAAATGTAATATAATCATCAAAGTAATCACAACTCCAAATATGTTAATTACATCACTACTTATAGTTTTCTTTCTGCCTTTCTATCTATTTCACCTTGATTGCTGATTTGGGCCTTGCTTTCTTCACTGAATGATATTTTATTACCAAAAAATTAATTGCATAATATACCTGTCATTCCAAATATTAAATTATATATTTTTTAATGTTAATGAT